ATTGATCCAACAACATAATGATACCAAGCCTCACTATCGATGGCATATTTTCTAATCTTTCTAATCTTCAAGCGCATTTTCTCCATCTTGATCTTGTGATCATCGACGACATCGGCAACATGCAACTCCAATTCCATCTTCTCCCCCTCAATTCTTTTCAATTTTTCTTTCAAGTACTCGTTTTCTCTTTCAACTAAATTTAACCTCTCGACAATAGGGTCGGTTGGAATTTACGGTTCACATACCTCCTAGATAAAAATATCTATGTCAACTTGATGGGCATAATTTGTCATAAAAAATGCAACAAATAGTTTTAAAAAGAGAATATACCACATCCGAATCATAACAAGGACGAGGACCGACGGGGACGGATATCAAAACCATGGCACTATGTATAACAAACAACGTACGGGTAAGATAATTATTATACGAGTAACTATATATCCAAATCACACAAACATCATTTTTTTATATAAATTTTCATGAACAAGAGGCTCACCACAGGGTGGTGCCGGCGACGGGACGGTGCGGGCGATCTACGGTGGTTACGACGGAGATTTAGAAGGCACTAAGTAAACCACACCTACATATGCAAACTAAGTGTTATTTTGACCTCAAATTGCATATAAATCAAATACTACCACATATAATTCCTCCCAAATTACTAAAACCCACAATTAATCACTATATAAACCAATGCAAGAGCTAATCTAGCAATGAGAGATGAAAGGACAAAGTTGCTAACCTTGGTGATCATTTGAATGGATGAGGGCCTGCAAATCTTGACAAATTTGGGGCAAATTTTGTGATGAACTCGAGAGGAAGAAGGCAAGAACAAAAGAGAGGGAGAGGGGAAAGGGGGAAGAACAGAGTGCGGGTGGACGAAGGATTTATATAGGACGACCTTTAGTACCGGTTCGTGCCACGAACCGGTACTAAAGGTGATGGAAGGGCCCCACTCTGGCAACATCCTGCCACCACTCTCATTAGTACCGGTTCGTGGCACGAACCGGTGCTAAAGGTTTGCCACGAACCGGTACTAAAGAGCTCCTCCCGGCTAGCCGTTGGAACCGGCACTAATGGACACATTAGTGCCGGTTCTGTTACAAACCGGGACTAATGTGTCTCACATTTGACCCTTTTTCTACTAGTGCCTTGATCAAAGCTAGTGAAATGAGGTGGCAAGAGAAGGATTTCTTCTCGGAGAAGTGCACCGACATTAGGATGGAGATCAGTGAAAGGAAACTTAGTTTCATCAAAAACTACATCACGGGATATGTAAACACGTCCAGTGGAGACATCCAGGCACTTGACCACCTTATGTTGAGCACTATAGCCAAGGAACACACATTGTTTTGATCGAAACATGAGTTTGCGATTATTGTAGGGACGTAGGTTTGGCCAACAAGCACACCCAAAAACACGTAGGGACTTATAGTCTGGTTTTGTGTGAAGAAGCCTTTCTACAGGAGTTTCATGATGAATGACATGACTAGGAAGCATGTTTATGATATGAACGACAGTGAGAAACGCTTCATCCCAAAATTTAAGAGGCATGAAAGCGTCAGCCAAAAGAGCAAGGCCAACTTCAACTATGTGTCGATGCTTGCATTCAGCTGACCATTTTGCTGGTGAGCATGGGGGCATGACACATGGTGTGAGATACCAAGTGTCTGGAAGAAGGAGTTCAACTTTTCATACTCCCCTCCCTAGTCTGATTGGACAGCAATAATTTTACTGTCAAACTTTCGTTCAACTAGTGCTTGAAAGTTTTTGAAAACTTGAAACACATCAGATCGTTTCTTTAAGAGATAAATCCAAGAGAATTTGCTATAGTCATCGATAAAACTGACGTAATAGTTGTGTCTACCAACAGAAGTGGGAGCAGGACCCCAAACATCAGAGAAAATCAACTGTAATGGTTTGGTAGAAATACTGGTAGAAATTGGGTAAGGCAACTGATGACTCTTAGCTCTCTGACATGAATCACAAATTGTTTCATTATGACACTCACCAACAAACGGGAGTTTATTTTTCCTAAGCAACTTTTCAACTAAAGAAAAAGACGCATGTCCTAAACGATCATGCCAACGTGTGGATGACAACTTGATAGCACCACAAGCTTGTTTATTTTGTTTTTGGAACTCCAGAATCAACGGATAGAGGCCGCCAACGCATCTACCTCGATAGAGAATTGTCCTCGTTGCCTGATCCTTGATAAAAAAATAATAAGGGTGAAATTCCAGAAAGACATGATTGTCAAGGGCAATTCGATGGAAAGAAAGAAGACTTTTATTAGCACTAGGAACATGTAGAATTTTCCTAAGATGAATGTTGCGATGAGGGGTATGAAATATTGAGTGACCAAAGTGACTTATACTCATACCTTCTCCGCTGGCAGTGTGGATTTGATCCTGGCCGCGGTATTTTTCCTTCATGGTGACTTTCTCGAGCTCGTTGGTGATGTGGTTGGTGGCTCCGCTGTTGACGTACCAATTTGTGTCAACGCCATAGGAGCCATCGGCCGCCGCAGCGACTTTCTCCTCATCTTGCGAGTCGTAGTCATCCTCCTCATACATGTACCAGCAGTCCTTCGCTGTGTCTCCAGGCTTGCCGCAGATCTGGCACCGGGGAGCGTCCGGGCGGTTTATGCCGCCACCACCAGCGCCTCGTCCACGGCGACCACGACCACCAGATTGAGGTGGCGTGACGCCACGGTTGCCGCCGCCGAACCTGCCCTTGGTGCGAGAGGAGCCACGCGATCGGGAGCCGCCACCCCGCCCGCGAGTGGCCATGTTTGCGGACGACTTGAAGCCGCCGCCGCCGGATCCTTGGAACTGGGCCATTCGCTGATCGAAATTTGACAGCATGGCAAAGAGCTCATCAAGGGTTACCTGTGTCACGCGAGTGTCGAGGGCAGAGACGAGGGGCTGATAGTCGGCGTCGAGCCCGTGGACGATGTAGGAGTCGAGTTTGTCGTCAGGGATCGCCTTGCCCGCGGCTGCGAGCTCGTCGGCGTAGCCGCGCATGGTGACAAAGTAGGAGGTGACGGAGAGGTTGCCCTTCTGCGCGTTGATGAGGGAGGTTCAGATGTTGTTGATGCGGCTGGCGGACTGCGAGGAAAACATGCCAGCGAGCGTCGTCCAGAGCGTGCCCGCGGTGGTGACCGTGGTCACCATGAGCAGCACCTCGCGCGTCAGATTGTTCAGCAGGTATCCGAGAACCTGCTGATCCTCCCTGACCCAGATTGGGTGGAGAGGGTTGGGCGATGACACCTCCTTGCCTTCTTTGGTGGTGACGAGGAGTCTCGCCGGCTCCGGCTGAGTGCCGTCGACGTAGCCGAAGACACCGGCTCCATGCAGCTGGGGAATCACTTGTGTGCGCCATAGCACATAGTTTGTGCGCATCAGCTTCTCGGTAACTTGGCCGTTGAGGTTGGTTTGGGAAGCGCCAGAGGATGAAGACATGGCTAGGGCTAGATGGAGTTTGTGTGGAGCTTAGATGGGAAAAGGATGGCTCTGACTACCATGTGCGATAGCTGGAAACGTCTTAGCCTGTTGAGGCCGACGGGTTCGTGTTATATGGAGGTGGGGCGCACCTCCCAACCATAGTGCATACATTGTTGAGATTACACGAGGGAGAGAGATATTCAAGGAAGAGATAGAACTTGGAGAGAAAGGAAACAATCTATCTCTATCTATCTATCCTAACTACCTCATGCACCGGTGGTGCAACCACAATTATGTTCAACAGTGGGTCCTTGTGGCGGCATCAGTGGCGACGGATCTTGGGATCCCGCTCCCGGGGACGTCGCAGGACGCGGCGGCCCGTGCACGAGAGATGGAGTTTCTTCGAACAGATCTGAGTGAAAACTTGCTTTTGACTACTGCAAAGACCGGCGCTGGCGGCGCTGTCTGTGTCGTTCCCTTTTTGAAGGCATCGCCGTGAAGAAGTTCAAGGTCACTCTCTGCTACCTCCGGGGGAAACTCTAGATCAGTTGATCGGATGATGGCGGCGCTCTGGTGTCGTTTCCCCCTTGGGTGCGTCATTCATGGAGGTACACACGGGCTCGGGGAACAGAGGACAGTTTTTTGGTGCAGTGGTACTTCATCTTATACACTGATGGCGGCGGATCTTGGCGACGTGGCACTGTGGAGATTCGGAGTCCGATGCGCGGAGATGAACTCGCGCAGGGAGGTGGCGCTGTCTGGCATCGTGGTGGCGTCGACTGCAGTTAGACCGGACAAGGTTGATGCAGCAATACAACACTGAAGATGGATTGGTGCCAGGTGGCTGCGACGGCCTCATACCCGGCAGGCGTCCTGGTTGAGGAGTGTGTCGGACTGGTAGGTGCCCCATACCCGGCAGGCGTCCTGATTGGGACCTCAGGTCTTAGATGCTTAGGTTTGGCTGCGATGTCTGTTTGGTATTAGATCCAGACTATCTGCGCCCCTTCATCAATTGGATAGGTGTAGCGACAGTTGTTATTTAGACGGTGGTTTTAGTCTTACTGTTGTATGCATTTGTAAGGTTTTGTGAGAATAATTAATAAAGTGGCCGTATGCATCGCCCAGATGCAGAGGCCGGGGGTCATTCTCCTTTTCTAAAAAATGTTTTCTTCTATTTGTTCAATTGTTTTAAAATAAAGAATACGAACTGAAGTGTACGAGCCGATGAAACAAACGAAATTGACTAGGGACCCAGAGCTACATGGATCGTCTGCCTTTCAGGCGCTATAATCGCCGGTTAGGAGCTCTCCAGATTGGATCACTGTTCTAAGAAAAACTGATTTGGATCATGCATTTGATGTGAGGGTGATTGAAACTTGGAAGGAACAGCTAGGCAACATGCCATGCTCATGATACAGATCGAGTAGAACTCTTAGCCTAATATATAGAAAGAGAAGAGCGACGCGAACAATACTCCTATATCAACACGCAACGAAGGCAAGAACCGTAATACGTACGTAAGTGTAGCTAGCCTCCTCCTGTACTGCCACCATGGCGATACTGAGGAAGAACAGGAGCTCTCTGAGCTTCGTCGTGGCCGCCATCATGGTGGTCATGGCTGCCACCCTTGTCCTCTCCTCGTGCGACGCCCGCAAAGTGGTCAGTTGATTAATTTTGTCATTTATTCGCGGCGTCGTTGAGATCGAGCGGATGATCTGGAACTCGTAATGTTTTACCCTTTCTGTTTGTGCGCATGCAGAAGGATAAGCCCACCGCTTTCCCTGTGCCGGCGAAGTGCTACGCGAGGTCTTTCCCGAACTGCACCGAGGAGCGGTGCAAGATGTTCTGCATCCAGCCGCTCCCCGGAGCCGTCTGCCTCGACAAAAAGACCTGCTGCTGCCCTGTTGCTTAATTATAAGTGCCGTTGAAGCGATCGAGCTAAGAAGCAGTGAAAGATGACAATAAGCAATCTTGCTACACCTCTAAATACGTAGTCTTTATTTGTTAACGGTGTCCCTATTTATGACCTGTCAACCAAAGATTTGTGTATTGTATTAATGTGTGTATTATATCAGCACAACAATGTGCTCGCTATTAGCTTTAACGAGTTCCATATATCTTGAGACACAAGAGGTTCAACAGGTTAAACGAGTTCCATATATCTCTAGCCAACCTTCCCACAAGAGGTCTTTTTTAACACCAATGAATTCTATTAATGCTAGAGGAAAACGATAGCTCCAATAATTTCTTTGTTCTCAACGCCTCCTATTTAGAGGAATTAGCTACTTCAACGATCTTTGATGGTTATAGGGGTATCCAAAGTACAAACTTGATGGTTGTTTGTTATCCCAACCATTTTTCCCAGCCCTGATACCGATCAGGAAAGTGGTAAGGTTCCAGTTAAAATTTGCGTATGTTTGCGTATCAGTTGAGAAAGAATTATCAACATCGATATCATCAATTGATGCTACTACGTATAGCACCAAAAATATTTTCATAATATTTAATTCTTATTTTATATAAAACGAGATATTTTGGAAAAAAAATGACGGCCATATATCGTATTGAAGACTACGCCAAAACAAAACATACTAGTACTCTATCAATTTGCTGTAATAAATCAAAATATCTCGTTTCTTGTATGGTATCTTGATTTGGTTGGCCTCCAGCATCTGAATAAAATCCATATAAAGTCACATTAATTTTATTTATACGCACTATATCAATTAGCCACAGTGATATAGCCTGCTCATTTATGGCATATATATATCTCGGCATAATTATTTTTCCATATATTTCCATAAGGTGTATAAATCGACCTCTCTATAAATAGCCCGACGCCAGGGTACACACCGCATCAATCAATCCATTCAGAAGAAAAACAAGAGAGAAGAAAAGAGAATTAGGGCTAGCCATCACTCATCTTCATGGCGATCTTCAAGAGGAACACCACCGCGATGATCTTGGCCGCCCTCGCTGTCATGGCCGCGGTCCTCTCCACATGTTGCCTCGCAGACGGTAATTCACATGCAATCACACCCACACCAATCTCCTCTTTTAATCACTTGATAAATTCACATGCATTTTGTATCTAAACTCTGAAGGAGGATGCATATAGTTACCCCGTGGTATCTTTTTGGCATGCAGAGGGGGAGAGATGCTTTCCGCCTATCTCGGGGCCGGACTGCAACCTGAGGCAGTGCCGGAAGCTGTGCGGGGAGAAGTCGAGAGCACACTGCTACATGGCGTTGGCCGACGTGCAGCCCATGGGGGTAACCGCCTGCTGCTGCTCTCCCCTCAAGCGCGCGAAGACTGCTCCTGCTGTCTTGTAGACTTCGTCGGAACGATGAAGAAATCAATAATCGAAGAATTTTTTTGATGGTGTGCGAATGTGATGTGTGTCTTTAATTTAGCACTTTGAGTTCAGGGACGTGAGCTTTCTCCTTTTCGGCTAATTGTATTCTCTGTGTCATTCTTCGTGTGAACAAAAAATCAAAATGGCATGTCTCTAATACAAAGACAAAATCACATCTTGTTTTATCTTCTTTTGGGAGAAAACTTTCAATCTATTTTTTTTTGCGGATAACTTTCAATCTATTTGCCTTGCCATAACAGTACAAAGAACGTAGAAATAACAAATTACAGCCATGTTCGTAACCTTCGTAACTTCGTATATCATCTATGATGATTACAAGCAATCAAGCCGAAAGCGCACCATCATCATCACCCCTCCCCGCATTACTATCACACAAGAACAACAACCGTCGCCAATGAATAGAAATATAGAACAACACAGAAATGAAGATGAACAAATACTGGATCAAAGTGCAACGGTAGAATCCTGCGAGATCTACCGGAGACACCTCCCCACGCCCTCCGATGACGGCTAGGCGGGCATAACTTTATTTTATTTCCAGGGAGCCGTCACGGCCTTGTATTCTTAAGCAGAACACAAACACTAAACGAACTCATAAAAACTCGGCGGCGCCAATGGGAGGCAGAGAAACTCTAGTCTTCTTTTCTTGAAGAAGAGACGGCAGATACTCATGAGATGAATTTGTTCAATTTATCCTGACATGACGATTTCGTATTGGTTATTTCGGACCCCAACGAAAAGGATAAATTTGTGATTTTCATAATCCAAATTTCATAAACAAATAAGAAAAAGGAATAAATGGCTTATTTTACACCGAGTCGAATCTTGTGCGCCACTCTGCATGCATGCTCTAGCTACTGGTGGAAACAGACCGCAACACAACTTACTCGCAAACACATGGGGCGCGGCTTGCGGCTCGTTGAAATGAGAATCAATTGGAAAAATTGTTCATTTTGGTGTTTTGGAGACTCTGTGGCGCGTTGAAATGAGAATCAATTGGAAAAATTGTTCATTTTGGTGTTCTGGATCCTCTGTGAGCACATATTTTTTAAATCACGCCAACAGATCGACTGGGAGGTTTATATTCATGGGAGGACATACCAAGTGCATGATGCACTTCAGTGCTACATCAACAGATAAAAAAAAGGCATCAAAATCAAAGTTGAATTATATGTTACATGCGACACGTTGAAATAGTCTATGGTAAGTAGGGGGAGTAGAAGCCTGCCTTCTAACACTTGTAAAGACATTTGGCACCTGCAAAAGGGTAGTCCCAGCGCATTTAGATTGTGACACATCTTTATAGTTCGTATGGAAAACAGTTTTTTTTTTGAACACAAGAAAGGCGCCATCAAGCACCAAAATTTCATTCAACTCATAAGCAGAGTACAAAATGAATTACAAAGCCCTCAATTTGGAGATTTTGAATCTGGAGCATAGTATGACAAGGGCTATTGCTACGAGCTGAATGAGTACAACCAATGACAGCTTCTAGCCTAGAGTTGAGAACCTGATGAGCTGCGTTGTGAGCAATACCATTGATATTCCTGTGAATATGATAAATAGCATGATGTTGTGGATGAGTGTCCTGAAGAAAGCTACTAATCGGTGTTCGATATCTCCATGGAGTGTTGTTGTTGCTTAAGTTCCTGGAAGCAGCCATCTTTGCAAGAGAAAGATTATCCGTGATCAAAGAGACTCGTTGAAGTTGGAGAACTCGAGCAACCTTGGCTGCTAGTTGCAAAGCTAAAGCTTCTACTACAAGTGGAGAGTGAGTATCATCAGCCGAAGCCTGAATCATGATATTCCTATCATGTTGGTCCCCTGGTTGGTCAATGAAGATTCCAATCCCTATAGCTGGATGTCACACCCTAACTAGTTCTTGCATTAGAGTGTTCCATTATGTCTATTCCATTCAACAGAAACTTGAAATGGGGATGACAGAACCCCCAGCCCCCTCTGAAACCAACTAGGGTTTACTAAAAATATTTTTAATGAACCTGAAATGCCCTTCTAAAATGTCCATCATTTTTGTCTTGGTTCAGAACCTCTGCCAAAAGTGCTGCATAATTTTCTAGGTCATCCTAAGGTCTCTGAATTAATTCATAAGTATTTGAATTTGGACATTTATAATCTATAAAATATTTTAAATGTCCAAATAAATCTAAACTGAAATGTTCCATGTTGGTTATATACTAAACAGTGGTCATGAGCAGTTTGGTGATTTTTGAAAGTGTTTAGGTATTTTTAGAAAAGCCCAACACTTACAGAAAAATAGAAAAGCAAACAGAAATAAAGAGAGAGAGGGAAAAACTTACCTGGCAGCCCACCAGCCGGCCCACCTAGCCGGCCCAGCCCAGCATCCGCTCCAGCGAGCTGCTTGACTTGGCCAGGCAGGCAGGCAGGTGCTCGACGCCGGCTCCAGCGCGCGCCACGCAGCTGCCCGCCGCTCTGCTTCCTCCCCTCGGCACTCTGCTGGCCTGGACGACCTCCACGTCGCGCCCCGATCCCTCTGGACACGCCCATTCTCCCCCTGCCTCTCTCCCTCGCTCTCCACCACCATGGCCGACATTGCCGCCGCCGTTCCACCGCCGTAACCGTAGCCGTCGTCGTCACCGCGCCGCCCGACCGTGTCTACAAGCTCCGCCATCCTCCTCTCCGTCGAGCAGACCGAGCCCCGAGCGCTCGCACGCTCTGCACCGTCTCCACCGAGCTCGTCTTCAACCTCCTGCCGGCCAGATCTCCACCGCCGCCCCGCTCGCTCCGGTTCGTCCCCGACCTCGCTGTCCGCCCCGTCGCAACCACCGTGAGCTGGGCCACCTCCCTAACCTCTCCGCTCCCCTTCTCGTGCACCACAGCGAGCACACCGAGCTCACCCGCATGCGCCGCCGCGGAGCTCGTCGCCGACGAGGCTCCAGCCACCCAACGGTCCCAGGAGCTCCTGCCCACTAACCTCACCACGCTCCCAGGAGCTCAACGCACTAACTCACGTGCCTCGCCGTGCTTCCTAGCGACGGGTTCGAGCTCACCCGAGCTCCGGCCGCCGCCAAACCCGTCGCCCGTGCCGTTTCCGGTGACCCCGATCCCAACTACCCGCACCACCCGCTGCGGCTCGCTCCCAGCTATCCATAGAGCCCAACGGCGCATCGAATGGTGCCCTGTGGTGAAACCCGCACCTGCACCGCCGCGTTTGGCCTCGCCGGCGGCTAAACGCCGGCGAGTTGACCCCGCTGACCCCCGTTTGACCATGGGTGGGCCCAGTTTGACCCCCTGGGTCAATGACAGGTGGGGCCCAGCCCTGTTAACTAATTAGGATTAGTATTATCTAATATTTAGTTAAACTAATTACACTGACATGCGGGGCCCACTATCAGGTTTGACCTGGACTGTCCCGTTGACCACTGACGTCATCTGACGTAATGCTGACGCAGTAAATTATTTGCTGGAATTATTTTTACACAGGAAATTCTAGAAAATACCACAAACTTAAAAAAAATCATAGAAATTAATCTATAGCTCCAAATGCAAAGTGTTAT